TTTGCTGAGATGCCAGGCCTATATTTTCATGGCACTTACATCACACCTCGGGCACCCGATCCTTTCGGCTCTCCGGGCCCTGGCAGCATGATGTCATCCACACAGTGCACTGGCATAATGCTTGTGGAATGAGGAAGTGTTCCAAGTCTGAGAACTGTTAAAGAGATAACGGAGTCCTGGTGCGAGATGGTGGGCGAAGGTGCACTGATGACCCTGACAAATACAAGCAGGGTTTCGGGTTGTCTCTGCTTCTTGGAATAAAGAAAAAAGCGCCTTCCAGCTCAGTAACTGCACGCCAGGTGGCCGGGACTGATGTCTCTTCTCCAGCAATGATACCACATCGGAAACAGCAGCTGCAGTCGGGGTCGCCACGTAATGAGGTCTATGGTAATCCACCGTCATTCTCTAGGGCCCATGTGCCTTCTCCTCTGGCCAAACTGAGAGGGAAGTAGGGATGTGATAAAACCACCACCTCTGCCTCTCTCAAGGCCTTGATGACATTATTAATCCCTTCAACTCCCGGGAGGGTGCAGCGTTGCTTTTGGCTTATCACTTTGGTACGGAGGGATTTCCATTGGACTTTTCTCATCATCAGATCCCTTACTCCGCCAGTCCAAGAGCCAATCCGGTAATTCTGCCAGCGGCTGAGCCTATCTATGCCAGCAGGGGAATTAGTGGGTCTGAAGATCGCAGGGCCCACTTCCACTTCTTCCCAGGGTCCCCGATCAGTGACTGACTCAGGCCTGGGATCGGTGCAGGAACTGCGCTGTCAATCATTGTGGCTAACGTCAGACCTCTGTTTACCCGACCTGAAGTTTTTTTCCCCAGATATACAAATCAAATAGAAACTTAACAGGTGGGCGGCTCACATATTTTGGTTTTAGAGACTCCATGATCAATTAGCCACATCAGTCTCTACAGCAGTGGTTCTCAACCTTCCCAATGCCGCGACCCTTTAATACAGTTCCTCATGTTGTGGCGACCCCCAATTTCATTGTTACAAATTGAACATAATTAAAGCATAGTGATCAATCACAAAAACAATATGTAATTATATATGTGTTTTCCAATGGTCTTAGGCGACGCCTGTGAAAGGGTCGTTCGACTCCCAAAGGGGTCGCGACCCATAGGTTGAGAACCGCTGCTCTACAGGTTAGACATCCTGGTAACTCCACAGGCCCTGCCTATTATCATGACGAGGCTCACTCTCCTGGGGAAGCTCAGTGCTGCTACTTGCTTCCTACAGCCCCAGGGTCTGCACATCCTTCGGATAAAGAAGCCCTCGTCCGCTGCTGCTTATCCCACCAGCAGCTCCCACCCGGGGCTGAGAGGTGCTGGGACTTCCCTTCCCAAAGAATTTCCCAAGGCCCTGGTTTCCGGGGGGTGGGAGGTTGTCACCTTCTGGGTAACCAGGAAAATGTCATATCCAATACATTCTGATAGGGGATTAACTTTATTTTTAAAGCAATTGGGAGCCACTAAAGTGTTTTCAACAGTAGAGTAGGGTGATGAGATTTGTCTTTTTTTTTTTTAATTATTGATTGATTTTTGAGAGAAAGAAACATCAATTTGTTGTTCCACTTATTTATGCATTCATTGGTTGCTTCTTTTTTAAAAAAATGTATTTTTATTTCAGAGAGGAAAGGAGAGGGAGAGATAGAAACAACAATGATGAGAGAGAATCATTGATTGGCTGCCTCCTGCACGCCCCCTACTAGGGATCGAGCCTGCAACCTGGGCCTGTGCCCTTGACTGGAATTGACCCTGGGACCCTTTAGTCCACAGTCCGACGTCCTATTCACTGGACCAAACCAGCTAGAGCAATTGGTTGCTTATTGTATGTGCCCTGACTGGGATCGAACCCTCAGCCTTAGCGTATCCAGATGATGCTTTAACCAATGGAGCTATTGGGCCAGGGCAAGATTTGCCTTAAGAATACTCCTGTTGCCCTGGTCAATTTGGCTCAGTAGATAGAGCATTGGCCTGTGGACTGAAGGGTCCTGGGTTTGATTCCAATCAAAGGCACATGCCTCGGTTGCAGGCTGGATCCCAGCCCTGGTCAGGCATGTGCGGGAGGCAACCAACCAATGTGTCTCTCTCACATCAATGTTTCTCTCTGTCTCCCCCCTCTTCCACTCTCTAAAAATCAATGGAAAACTATCCTCGGGTGAGGATTAACAACAAACAAGAATACTCCTGCTGTTAGGTGGAGGGCGCAGTGGAAGAGGCAAGACAGGAGTGAAGGGAACAAGTGGGAATCTGATGCAGTGACTCCCAATGAGCCTTCAGAACATGGAGGTGTCAGCCGAGTCCTGAGAAGTACAGGACAGGTGGCCATCAGCGCTGGGTAGTCAGGTAGCTACACCACACTCCTGGGGAGGCCTGGGGAGGGTGTGGTGAGTAGGGGCACATGGAGGAAAAGGGGTTTATTGCTGTGTATAGGTTTGTCTTCCTCATGACTTGCTGGGCAGGGCTGAGCAACAGGGCCAGAGCCAGGTGGCTCGGAGGAGAGTAGGTCAAAGGTTCTGTCCTCAGGAGGCGTTTGTGGGCAGCACAGCCTTGTCAAGGGGTTGGGGGTTGGCTATATTGACTATAAAGCTCTGAATCCCAGCACCAGGCTTTGGGGCAAGCGGTGGCCTGCAAGAACAGCCTGGACTATCTCCCTTGCACCATGCTCAGTGGAAGGAGAATGAGGAAAAGCAAAGCTGGGGGCATCTGCCAGGGGAGGATGCTGCACGTGGGCTCCCCAAACGTCTCTTTGCAGAGCCAG